GATAAAAAAGCTCATAATCTTCTTCTTCATGCTCGGGTACCTGTCCGTAATGCGCACCTCCACGGGCTCCTCCGTCAAAAACGCCTTCATCAGCAGGCCTGCAAGCACTTTTTCTGCATTCTCCGCGCAAGATCTGCTTGCGAACGTGATAATGCAGTAGTCGTACAACCGGTTGGCGTAGATAATTGGGCCTATCCAGCTCGCAACGTTCGCCACCTCGGTATGGCTGTAGAAGTTGCCCAGACCCGTAATGTACACTGTCGAATCTGGACAGTGGTTCTCCAGCGGAAAAATCACCAGTTTTTTAGCACTCATTTTTGAGCTGTGCTCTGGGGTGCCCGGCTCGGTGTCCGTTTCCTTCACCGCCTTCGCAGACGGCTCCACAGCTTTGCTCCTGTTAGAAGACATGATCTTTGATGCCCCACACGTAAGCGTTCTGCATGCGTTTTGCCGCACGTCAATGGGTTGCTCGAAGCCCAGCTACGCTGTCGCTAAAGCGCATAAAACTTCGCGATCCGGAAAACCGCGCGAAGTGCGTCGTGCGCCCTCTAAATATATTGGTTATTCTGCAATTGTTTTCAGAGCGCTCTGCGAGTCGCAAATTCCGTAATTTAATCGATTAATTTTGATTAGCGTGGCCTGGCCTTCCCAGCGCCGAACTCGCCGCAGATGCAAAACGCAACAACGTTGATCTAACTTCCGAATCGCAGAACATTCTGTTTTCTCGGTTGCATGGAGAACTAGCAGCGATGACGCGACGGTCATTGAATCAAGCTGCTTTGGCTTGGGTTCAAACGATTTTTAGGCCGCTCAACAAACGCTACCACATCGTCGTCGGAACATACTTCTTCTTCACCACAATGGTTGCGTTGAGTGTGATCTCAATAACGTTGGGAAGCATGGTCATCTCCTCGAACAGCAACTTGGTCGACTGCGAGCTCGCATACCCTTCGCCGTCGGACCTGACTTGCGATGAGTTTACGGGCTGCAGCAGCGATTTGCTTGTCACTGCTGATAACTGCTCCGGCGCTTTAGTCCGAACGGCCGGCAGTGCTCCGTACATCAAGGGGCCCGTTTACCTCATGTACCGGCTTCGCAACTTCTACCGCAACCACAAGGACTTTCGCGATAGTTACTCTAGCGAACAACTTTCCGGCGTACCTATCACTGACCCCGCCAAACTAACTAGCTGCGAACCCGCCGTTTTCCGAGACGGAGATACGCGCATATTGTCGCCCTGCGGGCTTTTGCCACGCGCCGCGTTCAATGACACCTTTGAAGTGCTCGCCTCGGATGGGACGCCGTACTATTTAAATGAAACCGAGGAAGCAATTTACAGCCCCGATACACAAGTAATTTCGTTCGAGAATCCAAAGCTAGACAAGTCAAACGCAACTCTGATCCATGAGTGGCTTCCCGCTGACGTGTTTCCCCAGAAGGTTGAAAACGCCCATTTCAAGGTGTGGATGAGCTCGTCGGCGTCGAGCGACTTTCGCAAAGTCTATGCCCTCATTGCGACAGACTTGCAGTTGCCGTTCACGGTGCGCGTGCAGAATCGGTACGAAGTAGCGTCCGCCAATGCAGATAAATTTGTTCACATTATGCAGACTGGTTGGCTAGGCGGTCGACACCTCGGGATGGGCGTCACTTACTTGGTGGTTGGACTCGTGTTGAGTGTGGTCACCGCATGGATTTACTTCAACAACTTGAACTACCCGCGCAGGAAAGGAGACGTTTCGCGCTTGCGTATGGGGTGAACGGAAACGCGCCGAAGCCTGTCCACGCCGCGCCGCTCGCGCTTCTCTAATTCAGCAGTTTCATGGAAACCAAGCGTGTTCTAGCCAAATTCTTGCTGTAGATATCAGATAACAGCAGGTTCATGCGCTGCGCGCTAAACATCACTCGGTCTTGAAACAGCATCCAGTAGCTGTGTTTCGCAATGCTGCTAAACCTGCGGTGCTCGTCTGCCATACTTACGGAATGATCTTCACTGTCTCGACTTCGGCGCAGCACAAAATTGAAAATGCTACGTACGGCCCTTGCTTTTGCAACATCTTGAAAAAAATAGAATCGGCTTCGTTGAACTCCGAGCTCACGATTACTCCCTGGCTGAGCAGCCAACCAATCTGGTGGCTTTCCGTGCTTTTCACAGCATTCAGTTTGCACGCAAGATTTTGCGGCTCCAGAAGCACCCGGCGCTTATTCACTAACGACAACAGTTTCAGTTGAATTACCGGCAGCGCGAACCGCTCGACCGACTCAACGCTCTGCTTCAAGTCTGCGAGCAATTTGCGCTTGCGCTCGACTGTTTCGCCAATTCTTACCTGCAACCTCTCATTCATGGCAAGCAGCTGGTGCGCGTACTGATAACGCTCACACAGGTACTTCACATAATCTTTCGCTTTGCCGAACAAGTCGCGAATGTCGATATCTTTTTCGCAGCGTTGCAGATACTGTATAGCGTCGGCAACTGCTGTGATTTTCTCGCTGGTCTCGTTGACGCGGCGCATTGTGCCGAGGCGGACTTCCAGCTCCGCTATGAGTTTGCTGACGCTGTTTGCGTTGATCTTATCACTGAGTCGAAACACCTCAAACAGTCGATTTTCTGCTCCTGTTCGCTCAATGTACAGCGGCAGGAAGGCAGCTGGGTGCGCCTCGCTTTCCTTCTCCAACAACATGCTGGCGTTGAGATAATGGATTTGTTCTACAAGCACATCGCCTTCCGCGCGGCTCACAAGGCTCTGGATGACCGGCAGTCGCGTCATGCTTTCACAAATTAACGCTTGGTTCACTTGCGACGTCGCAGGCTTAAACGAAAACACTAAGCGCTTGTCGCCTTTGCTTCGCGCGTTTAGGTGCGCTTGTTCGAATGGCGCCCCGACGTTGTGTTGTTCGCAATACAACCTCAGATACTTAGACAGCGGATCATTCAAGCCAATTGAGGAGTTGGGGCGCACGACTATGTAGTAGTAGTTTGCAATCCGCTGCAGAGCCCCTTCGTCGATTGACTTGTTGAGAAACTCGCTCGAGACTTGTTTGTAGCAGCTTACAATGAAGGAACTCGATATCATGGCGTCGAGGTTTGAATCTTTGTTGATGAGCTGCGTGTATAAAGTCTGAGCAGCACGTGTGTAGAACATCTGCACAGCTTCAAGTATGGTGGGGTCGAGGTCTGCCGTTTCTCCCAGCGCGTACTGCTTCAAAAGCTTCATAACTACCTTCAAATTGTGCACGTAACGCATCTCGCTGATTACTGTGCAGCCCAAGAAAGCTACCGACTCTGGGTATCCTGAGAGCACGGGAGTCAGAATGAAGCTGATGACGACGCGCAGCCACGGCATGATGGCCACGAACGGCAACACCGCTCCTTCCGAAATTTCAATGTAGCGCACCGACAGCAAGCCCAGAATTTCTTCGATATATACGGGAGTGTGCAGCAGGCTCAGCGCCAACTGTTGAAGCGCAAACAGATAGTTCACTAGCGAAGCGCACATAGATTTGTAGTGCTCGATAACAATGTCGTCGCTCTGCACGACGCTCTCGTAAAAAGCTTCGCTCGACTGCGGCGAGCTATTCTGGTGCGACCCTTCGTACAGCTCCAAAATTTGCTGCTTTTGCTGAACCAAGGTTGCGCGATACGCTACAATGCTCTCTGCGTACCAGTCGAGAATTGACGCCGAAGTGCTAGTCATGATCTCAATCAACTGTTCGAGCGCACTGCGGTCATCGCTTTCGTCGACGAGCACCCACGGCCGAATGAAATTTGCGAGTTCATGCATGCGTTTGCGAACGTATTGCTGAAGCAAACCTTTGAATCCGCTGAACGGCGTCGTAAACACGCTCTCTATATTTTCAGGAGACATGTTCTGCAGCTCGTCCTCTGCCAGCGCGCGCATCAAAGCGTGCACAATGTACACTTCGTTCACATTGTCATACAAGTCCATCGTCAGCGACAACGCGTCGTTCATGATTTCGATGGAGTCTGCGCAGGTAATGGTGCACAGCAAGTAAGCGGGCTGCGCGTAGAAGTACCTGGCAATGGTTTCCAACGAGTTGCGATGCTCAATCTCGGTCTTGCTCAGCGAGTCGCAAACGAGCTGGTTGTAGCGGTGATCCAGACTGCAGGTCGCACTGGTGTACAGCAAACTCATATAGTACTGGCTGAGCTCATTGCACTCTTCGTCTACTTTGCGCAGCTGATTCAGCTTGGAGCAAAAGTTCTCGTACATTGCGAGCGCCAGCTGGGTTTCCGACTCCACGACTTCCTTCTTCGGGCAGTATTTGATCGCCCGCTGAATGTAGCTGACATTGACGCTTTCTTGCGTTTTCGAGATCAGTGTCAAGCGGACCAGTAGTGAATGGTGGTTGTGTTTCTTCGGGTCGTACGCGAACAAACTGCTGGAAGTGTCGCCCGCCGCGTCCGCACTCACGTAGTTCTCGCCGTCTGCAACCGTCTTCGTCGCCGCTTTGAGCGTGATCTCGTCCCAGTTGACGTAAATGGTCATGTACTGTATCGTGCGCTGCTCTTCGTTGGTGAACCCCAGCTGGCTTTCTTCGTTGCTGCCTATGCCATAAAGCGTTTCGGACGTTCCGTGCACGATAGCGAAAGAGTCGGATACGGCAAGCGACTTGATTTTCTCCGGCAGTTGTGCAACACGGCACCACTCGCTGCGTTCTTCTGTTTTCGTGGTGAAGAAGACTGATTTGCGAAAAGTGGCCGCGTCAGACAAGCAGACGAGAGAAAAGTCGCACATCAGCAGCGCCACGCAGTCGCCCGAACTGTAAATGCTCTGCACTGCCCATCCCTCGCCTAGTTGCGAGGTGATCAGGTTGTCGATGCAGATTGGGTACAGGAAAGGCGTAGATGACTTGAGCAGCGCGCCATTTCCAAAATAGTAGATGTGGCCCATCTTGGTCCGCAGCATCGAAAAGCTTTCGCCAGCGTGTAGTTCGGCTATTTCGTCTTCCTCCGACAGCTTGAGCTTGACGCTTACCGGCTCGTACGAGTTTCTAGTCACACCGCTGCCCAGCTTGCCATGCTCGCCGTTCCCCCACGAAAAAAGCACGTTTCGCTGCTGCGCAGCGAGCACGTGCTTCTGCCCGCAGGAAATGAGCCGGATTTTGCTGTCTCCGTCCAGCACGCACTGGAAGTGATTCGCGTTTGACTCAAACAGCGTCTTCCCGTCTGCCGCGGACCCGGCGAAGCATAGTCGCCCGAGCAAGTCAACAGCTTTCTCCGGATCTACCGTGAAACTCGACACGAGCACTGCAGAATAGTTCGGCCCGCAGATCACTTTATAAACGTTTTGCAGGTCGTCGACGAATGTCGGGCGGTACACACACTTCGCCGCTCCCAGCCCGCACTCGCCGTTGCCATTGCTTCCCATGGCGTACACGATGCCATCGTTCGTGAGCAGCAGCGTGTGGTAGTTGCCGCACGCGACGTCCACTATGTGCACGTTGTCTTTGAACATCAGTCGGCGGAAGCGCTCAACGTTTTTGAAGTCGCTTCCAGCGCCGCACTGCCCGTACTCGTTGGATCCGCAGACGTACACGTTGCCGCAGTGCAACAACAGCACTGAGTGCGAGCGGCCGACGGCGATTTTCTTGACAATATTGCCTGAGGAAGCTCTGCGGTTTTTGCTTTCCAGGTTGAAGGCACTGGAGAACAGCTTACTCAGCGCGTTCATGTGCGTCTCTACGTGCACAATGAGGCGCAGCTCGTAGATCATCGTCGGCGCCGAGCGGTCTTGTTCGTCGAGCAAGCCGAGCTTGAACTGGTTACCTTTACCCCAACTGAACAAATCTCCGTGCTGCGACGCCGCTAACGCGTGATCTACTCCGGAGGTCACCTGCACGATGCCGCTGAGAGGCAGCGGTGTCGGCATGAGCAGCGGCTTGTCTCGCAGCACTAGCGGCCCCGTCCCACTGACGTATAAGCTCAGATTGCGCGTCACGAAAAATGTGCAACTGTATCCGCAGTTCGCGCGAATCACGAACTCGGGAGTGAGCTGCGTCACCTCGCTCGGCTCCAACTCGTTCTTCTCACTGCCTAAACCCAGCTTTCCGTTCAAGCCGTTTCCAAAGGTGTACGCTTTCCCCGTAGCCGTCACACATGCGCTGTGCTTGCTGCCTGCTGAGCACGAGAGCACGTGCTCCTCGGCGAGACTTTTTACGAAGCACGGAGTGTTGCGCAAATTCGTGTCGCCCAGGCCCAGCTGACCGTGCGCATTGTCGCCCCACGCGTACACTAGCCCGAGCGCTGTGACACACAACACGTGGTTCTCTCCAGCGCTGACGTCGACGATGGTGTCTTGATCCGCGTTCCGATCGACCACGTCCAGCTGAATTTTTTTCGGCTTCCACAGCAGCTCCACGGGGCCGTGACCCAGCGCACCGCACTGGTTGTATCCAAACGAGTACAGTTCGCCGCTTTCCGAGAGCGCGACGGTGAACGTGCCGCCGCAGCTGACGCGCGCCCACTTAACTTCGGCGATCTCACTGACGTCCACCAGTTTAGGTTTTGCCGCAAACCAGTTGCTTTCCGCCAGCGGGTCCAGCGGCGGCGCGCCGTCGCTGCTGTACGTGTAGCCGAGCCGCCCGAGCGTGCCCAAACCCCAGGTGACCAGCAAACTGCGGCCGCCCGAGCGCCGCTTGCAAATGAGCGCGACGTGCTCGCGGCCGCACGAAACCTCGTACGGGTATTTGCGCGCAAACTTGCTCAACAGCGTGGGCTTCTCGACAAAGCGCGTGGACTCAGGCAATGCCAATAAGCAGTTGGCGTTCGAGCCCCATCCGTACAGATTGACCGTGTTCTCTGATTTGACAATGGCGAAGCTTTGCGACAAACCGGCCGCGATGCGCTGCACGTTTAGCATCCGAAACGCTCGGTAAGTCCGAGCGGTCTCGGTTTCCGCGTTCATTCGGCTTTGCTGCGTCCGCTGCTCGACAAATGTTGCGTTGCACCTTATTTAATCGGTGAACTTTTCTCTGATCACTGTTTCCTGGCCGTTCCAGGCGGCCGCGCCGTCTGTTGTCACCTGCGTGTCGCGCACGACCACTTACCTTTCGGCTCGCATCCATGATCTTTTCCTTGACCGGGTAAATCATTTGCGAAATAGTTTGTATCCACGTGTCGGTGAAGTGCCGCGTCTCCGTAGACAAAATCTGCGTGCGCGCGCCCGCAACTCACCGAAAGACCTGAGAGCGAAGTTCTGATCGCGTGCACTAGCAGCGTGTCCTTGTCTTCGGGTTTCTGCTGCGACTTGTCCGCGCCCTCCCCTCCGAGATTCTCGCGACTGCTCATCGGCTGCTGCATGCTCAAAATATCTCTTGACTTAATTTTGCAGCCAGAAGTTAACACTGAGCTGCGAGCCTGCTTCCAGAAGACGCGCTGCCCGTAGTTGCAGCGATCCGTCGCGCGCCGTTTCTTTAGAACAAGAGCTACTATCTCGGCCAGCCGGTTGAAGCTAGACGTTTGGGCATACGCACATGAGCGCTTCGGACGCCGCAACGCTGCTTCCCGTCAAACAGGACGCGCAGGCCGCGGTGCCCCGCGTCGAAGCACTGGGCGACGACATCACGCAACTGATCCGCGACTCGTTCGCGCTCGACGAAATGAATTTCGGCTCTTCCGAGTCGCGCGACCGCGAGCGATATCGCCGCGGGCGCAACCGCAGCCGCCACACCCAAAACGCGGTGCACTCCTACAGCACGTCTGGGTCGCCGGGCAACACTTCAGAGGATTACTTCGAGCACGACCGCCCCTACGATAGTGCGCGCTACGAAAACGAGTACGGCGAGCCTCTCACGTTCCGCGACATTTGCATGCGCGCGTTGCAGCGCGCAACGGCCGCGCCGCCCGTGCTCGAGCCGCTCTCGCGCCCGAAGTTGGCCGTCGACTGGCTGCACCAAACGCTGCCGCTGACAGACGAGCAGCCCAAGCGCGGTGTCAAATTCTGCGGCGCACACGCGGGCGCAGGCTTGTCGGAGACGCTCGGCCAGTACTACTCAGACCTGGGCATGCTCGACTTGCGCTTTTTAGTGCACCGCATCTTGAAGGACTGCAACGTGGCCTACGCGCTGGCCGACCGCCGCATCGTGCAGGCCTCGCGACTCGCAAACGTCTTGCGCGACTACGGCCTGCCGCCGCGCAGCGAAGTAATGAACATCATTTGCAGCAACCTAGTTTGGTGTGAACGCAACTACGTGTGTCTCGGCAAGCTTGCGCGACTAGCGGGCCCAATTGACCCCAACCTCGCCGAGGAAGACTCGTACGTCCGCGACCTGAGCCTGCGCGCGCTAGCCGAGCACAAGGCGTTGCGGGAAGCGCAGCGACAAGCGAACGACGGCGCGCTTGCAGACCGCTACTCGCCCGCCGTGCTCCGCGCCATCGGCAGTCCCGCGGCCGCCATGCGTCGCCACCTTCTCGAACCCGAGTACTTTTCGGAACCGACGCTGCAGCAACTTGAAATGTGTCACACGGACCTCGTCGAGAACCGCGGCGCGCTGCGCGATTTGCTGTACGAGATTCGAGCTGTCACCGGCGCATCCACCTTGCAAAACTTCGAAGCGCTCGCCGCGTTTTACGCAGAAGAGGAGCTGCCGCTCAGCCAAATGCCGTTCTCGCAGTTCCTAGACGCGCTGCTGCGCGACATGCGAGGGATCGAGGCAGTGCCAGTGCCGCTGATAAAATGGAAAACAGAGGCGGAGCAGGCTGCGCTCTCACCTGCTAAGTCTGGCACGTCGAGACCGCGGCTAGCAAAGAGCACGAGCGCTGCGCCGGCGACTGACTTGCGCGAGAACACTAGCATACCCGCGCACAACGCGCTGCGGCGCTCCTCCAGCTTCCTGCAGCCGCACGCGCACCAAGTCGCCGCGCCGCGCAACGTGTTCCATTGCGACGACTCATTGCCGGCAGAAGCGCAGGACTCACGCCAAGTGACCGCCGAAGTCAGATACGACCACTCCAGCGAACGCAAGCCGTCGGACGCGGGGATAACGCTGCGCGACGAGACCTTCGCCACAATCCGCGCCATGCTGCGGAGCGAGATGGACATTTACGCAATGCCAAGCGACCAGCTCAAACAGTTTGTGAGAGACTTCGCGTTAGTGTGCGCGAAAAGGTGGCTCACCGCGAGCCAGGTGCAGCAGCTCTTCACCGCGTGGAAGATAAGTGGCAAAACGAGTGTGCGTCGGCTGCTCACCGCGTACCAGGGCAAAGACTATTTGTCGCAAACCACAGTTTACGAAGCTTTGTTGTCAGCGCTCTCGGAACGTGCGCGGTGAGCCGGCGCGTCCGGTTTTTTTTATATTTGGACGAAAAGCCGAAATCAGCGGCAAACGTTTTCTTTGTACTTTTTTTCCCCGCGCGGATCGAAAAAAATGTAAGCCAATATTTACAGCTAATTTTGTTCTATAGCAGCAAGCAATGCGGTGCGGCGTGCTTTTGATCGCGCCCGCGCTGCTGCGCGGAGACGAGTTGGTTTTCAAGCTGCCTGAGGACGCTGCGCCGCTGAACCCTTCGGCCGACCTGCAGGGTTATAAATACGCGGTGTTGCTGCACAGAAATGACGCAAAACGCGACTACGCGGATCAGTACGCGCGATTCCGGAACTACGGTCTGGATTTTTTAGAGTTCGAAATTTTCGACGTCATGGTGAACAGTAAGTTTTGCGCGATCCGCGCAAATTCGCCACTTTCAGAAATACTCGAAAAATCGGTCCAGATTTTCGAGCGCAAGGTTGCGCAGAACGAAGACTTGCGCACGCAGCTGACGCGTTGTTTAGGGCCGCGCATCTGCCAACTCGTGCTGGGCGCGAGGGCCTACTACAACTACTCGCTTAACGAGTGCTTTCTGGGCAGCGCGCACAAGCTCTCTGGCAGTCGCGCCCGCAGCGTAAGTTGAGTTTTCCGCGCTGCAGCCGCAACCCGCGCTATGCACCCCGCTGTTCTTATAGTGGTTACTGCGCTCGCAGCCGCGGGCCTCGACGTGATGCGCGACGGGAACGAGAACATGCCCGCTTCTGGTCGCACGGTGTTCAACAAGAAGCACGGCCTGCGCTACGACCCAGTCGGCGGCAGCGACGAGGACGACGCCGGCTTTCCGTACGTCAACGTGCACTACATTACGCAGTTCCGCGACTACGCGCAGGAGAAGCAAGACGCCGAGGCGGCTGCCGAGCACAATCTGCGCGTAGCCAACGAACGCGACCAAGCATTGCGGCTGCTCTACTGGCAGGATCGCACTAACGCGAAGCTGGCCACCGCGAGCGTGAACTCAGCGATCATCAGCCGTACACGACTGGATGAACTAAATTTCGTGGCCGGAAAATATGTAGCAAAGGTGCGGGAAAAGGCTGCGACGGCGCACAACAGACTCAGCGCGTTTCAGTTTTTGCAAGCGCGCATGGAAAAGCGCCGCGCGGCGTTCGCGAAAAAGTTCAAGAAATTTGCGTTCCGGCTGCGCGCCGAACTGGCCGCGGGCACAGACACAGCCGAACGGCTGGCGTTGCGTTTGGCAACCGCTAACTAACTATCGATAGGTTAGGCAGTGTCTGTGCCAGTCTGAGACGGGCGTCGCGGGGTCGAACGCCTGGGCGGCCTCGACCTCTTCCAAGAGCTCGTTGGCGTACTTGCCGTAGAGTTCGCAAACGGTGCGCTCGACAGTCGTGTAGTAGGCGTAGTTCGGCCGGTCGAGCGAGGTCTCGAGCGTGATCTTGTTGGCGAGCTTGACGATGCTCTGGATGAAGTTGAAGGTCGTGTTGCGAATCATCTGCGGCAAAATCGAGCGCACAATGCGACTTTTGACCATAAGGTCGACCTTCATGGACATGTCTATCGCGGTCAGGTTCGGGCCGAGCGGCCGCACTGCGAAAATCATGTCGCAGACGTTGAGCCGCGAGACGTTCTTCGCAGGCTTCGGCAGCGTGAAGTCAGACACGCTGTCCGGCTGCACCACGCCGAGCGTCAAGTACATGTCGCCGAGCTCCTTCAGCAGGTCCGTCGCCGAGCAGTAGACAATTGCCTCACGCTTGCCGATGGGCCAAGGCATGGAGGAGACGTAACTTATGATGCGCGAAGTGCGGGTGAGCGCTTTGAGCAGCGTGGTTTTCTCGCAGTAGGGCAGCCATTCGTGGTAGCGGTCGTAGTTGTCGAGCATGATCAACAGGTTGATGAAGCGCACCGCAAAACGGCTGCGCAAACGCACGTCGACGAAGCCGTCGCTGTTGAGTTTGTACGCCAGACAGACGCCGCGCTTGTTGTCGAACGCCCAGACGCCGTCCCCGTGCGCGCGGCTGCCGAGTCGGCTTCGGCCGTGCAGACTGTTGCGCGAGTGCCGGTGGTTGCGCAGCCAAAAGGAGTGGCAGCGCTGTTTCGAGCCGGACTCTTTCGAGGAAAGCGAGCAGCTGCGGCGCAGCGTGAGCGCGTTGCGCTTCGCAACACCGGCTGTGTCTGCGGTGTCAGTGTTGCGAAGCGCGCGAATTTGGCGCGTGGGCAGCTCGAGCAGCACGCTGGGCGACTGTTCGTTCGCGCAGCGGAACGGCTCGTGGTACGTGCTGCTCAAGCCGTCGCACCAGCGCTGCAGGCTCGCGTGAGTGACGAGTCGCAAAACGGGCACGTCAATTATGATGCGGTCGTCAAAGCGGAAGTCGAAGAGGCACTTGGAGAAGTAGCGCCACTTCGTTAAGAAGACATCGATCGCTTTGGAGCCGAAGTGCTGCACGAGGCCGAGCAGCGCGCTCGAAAGCTGCAAACGCTCGGCGTCCGAGAACGCGCCCGCGAGCCCGTCGCGGATCCAGGCGACCGGACTGCCGCGGACGCGCAGGTTCAGCGACGAGCAGAGCAGCGCAAACAGCGGCACCGAGCGCGACTCGCTTTCTACGAAAATGTTTCGAAAGTACTTGTGCTGCTTGCTCAGGATCTGCGCGACTGCAGGCGTCTTATCGAGCTGAGCCTCTGCGGCAAGCGTCGCGAGGTCGATTGCCATCAGGCGCAGCAGCAAGAAAACTTTCAAAAACTCTTCGTCTTCGATGCTTGCGTCGAGTTCGGCGAGCACGGCCGCCAGCACGTCTAACCACAAG